CCCCTCCCCTCTCCATAATGGACTTTTTGGGCAGACCGGAGGAGGACCCAACATCGGCGCACGTCGCCCCTACGGACGGAGCTCAGACCTCATCAGAAGCAGCCGGTGACACAACTGCAGGAGCGGCGGCAGCGGCGGCGGCGGCGGCCAGTACCCGCTTCTCTCAGCACAAAATAAACCAGACTTTGACCAGTTTTGCGATTGTTTTTGCCCTCAGCGATGCAGCCCCACCCTGTGTGCTCTCCCACTACACCGAACTGGCTCGACGTGTAAGTCGCCTTTTTTGCTGCATCACTTGCTATGGCACACCCCCTCCGTAAGATTCGAGCCGTTCCCTCTTCTCTTATTTTGCGTGCAATCCTAATCAGTGTGCGTTGTGAACGAAGGGATGTGGTGATACGCCCAGATGCAGGTCTGGCCGTGCCGGCTGCCTGCGCCCTCTCCCGCCTCCAGTTTTCTTGACTCTGTCTTGACACTGGGTACAGAGGGGGGAGGCGGAGGGAGTGTGGTGCATGCTGCGCAAATCTACAACCACTTTAAACTAATTCACGCTCAGGTCACCACCCCTGCTGCAGAGCACATGGTGAACATAGTCGAAATCAGCGGCCGAACCGTCATTTCAGTAGTACAGTGGAGCCACTCAGTCTCTACGGAACCGAGGAAGCGAGGCCGGAATGTCAACCTCTGACTTATTCGCTGTCTTCAACTCGTTAGAGAATGAAATAGGGCAGGACAGTACGCAGAGCAGCTATAAATGGTAATTCCAGTCTCTCATGTCTTTGTCGACTGTAACTCGCGTTCAAGTCTCAGGTCTTTTCGACCAAATGCGGTGCTATGACTAGCTCATGACGCCGAATAAGTCGGAAAGGGCCATTTCAGTCTCGCATGCTTTTGATTGTAGTAAATTTCTTTTCATATTGACCCAACTGCGCCTCGATGGGATTAGAACCCACGCAGTAAGGGGAAGGCTTTAATACAGCCAACGCTCTAACCACTTGAGCTACGCGGCCCCGCCGGACGACACGAGTTTAATCACACTTGGGCAGTCAACTTACTGTATCAGATTTGGTGGATTCCAGACGTTGCAGTAGTTTGGGCGGGTAACTTGACCCAAATGTGATTAATCTCGTGTCGCCTTCTGCTTACTGCGTGGGTTCTAATCCCACCGAGACGCCGAGTTTTTCACAGTTGGGTCAATATGAATTATTCAAAATCTGCCAAAATATCTATAAATTTCTTTTATCGTTTTTTGTCGTCACGCAGCTGACTGCAGGATCTTTTGACGCGACAAAACTTTCGCGTTCCGTCCTGCAAGCAGGCAGGTCAGATCCCCTAACACGGTTCTGATCTGCGCATGACTGTTTTTTTTTTTATCATGCCATCGCTTTTTGATAGAAAGCAATGCACTTTAGGAGCAGAAGTAGTCAGGAGAATGTGTCCAGCGACAGGTTTCCATGTGTCACCAACTGCCTGTCAGGCCAGCCCTTTCACCCAAGTGGTCTGTGTCCAGGTCAAGCCCGGCTGAGAAAAAAGACCCCGGTGACTAACCGACGTAGCTGTGGATAAGACGAATAAAATTTTGCAGAGCTAGACCGATGAAGATAGGCGAAAGAGAAATAGCAGCTTTTTGCAATTCACTCATGTGACCTTAACCCAGTCCTGTCCGCAGGCTAAAACCGGTGACCGATCATTTACCGACACGCATATACAAGCAATGTACATGGTTCACCGACGAGATCGAACCGATGAGTTAACACCGTAAAACCATGGCTTTCTCTTAGCGTATCCCCACTCATCAATAATTTTCTGGGTCGTTTCGATAGTTGAAAGCACGAATAGGCCAGAAACAGCTGCTGTCTCAGTCCACACTTTCTTTATCCGTCTGTAACCTTGTTTACTTAGTTGATTGGAAGCCTGGGGAGTGGTCGTCATTTCACCAATCAGATTGACATACCGCCGCGACAATGCGAACTAGTCTATCGCTAAGCATAGTCGACCAAAACATACAGCTGGCAGTAGAGGAAAGTGCGTTTTCTTAATGCCTAGCAGATGCTGCTGTGTACGGAACTGCCTGGAACCGTGTTCCATATCAATCGGAGCCGCACCTGCATACGCGCAGCCTTTTCTAAATGAGAGAGTACGCGAAACTTTCGGTGAATGTTTCATGAGTTTTTACACATACTACATGGCCCCAGCGGGAGTGGGCTAACGTCCTGGAGCACAAAAGTCGAGTCTGCGTCTACCTCGATGCCCATTTTCTACCTGTTGTTAACAATAAGTCCTGGCTGGATATGTGCCTGGCGGAACATACGTACGAGTTTGGGTGCAGATGGCAACCTGACCGCAACTTATTTATAGCTGTGGATGCGCACTTAGCCACCTTTTCGCTGCAAACAGGCTTTACAAGCTAACCCCGCGAATCTAATAGTCGGGCCTTGAATCCAGATGGAGGAGTGGCAAATTTACATTGCGTGTGTGGTCAAGGTAGGGAATGTACCCTGGCCGCTGCAGACATGGCCATGTCACGTTTAGCAGTAGGAATGGTGACAAACCAGTAGGCATAACCCAGAAGTATCGTCTCCGCCAGTTTATGCTAACAAAACCTAAAGCATGTAAGAATGCGTGCCCTCATCAGTCTTGAGAAATTTATTGGTTAGCTCACTAGTTCATGGATGCGTGCGATTGGTTGGCCAGCGCTGGCGCATTTGCTCGGGGCCTGACCGAGCGAGTCTTGGAGCATGTTGCTCCCCCCTTCCCCCTCGGAGGCGGAAGTTTGACGTATAAGCAGGGACCTACGAGGAAGTGAATATATTGTTTAACTATCATTTTGTATGTCACTCGAGTAATTAACCCCCTACCGCTTTTTTGTCCGCAGACGGGTGTGCAGCTGCGGCGAGCCGAACTCTTTTGGCAATACCTCAGCGCCGAACGAGACCGTGTTGTCACCCTCCTGGACAGTCAAGCGGGAATTGTCAGCTCGCCTGAGGAAGCAAGTGGCAACAACTCGGGGATTGGCGGCGGCGGTGGCGGTGGGGGTGGTACTGGCGGCTCCAGTCTCAACGGTCCTGCTGGAAGTGTTGCTCTCACTGTGAAGGAAGAAGACCGTGGGGAGGGAGGTGCCAACGCCAGCGACTTCGAATCAGCGGCCGACCTGCCTGAAAGCGAAAAGAGCCCTCCTAGCGGTGGCTGTGGTGGACCCGAGGCTCTTGCTGGGCAAGTCTTTGCCCTCGTCGCCAAGCGCTCACCCCTCTGCTCCGAACTGCAGCACATCGTGGAGTCGGTGACTTCCGTTGGACGAGTGAACATCGCGGTGGGTCCGCTTTCTGCGTCCCCATCTACCAATATATATGTATGTCAAATGAGCGTTTGACCCTCACTGTTGTGGTTAGGATCTCACTCGACCTCATTCTGTCCGCCCGCCCGCCAGCTACTGGCGACAACGAACGTAGAATGGGATCGAGTGAGATCCTAACCACAACAGTGAGGGTCAAACGCCCACTTCACATGCTTATATATCTCACTTCATAAGGCCTATGACGTACTGATGATCGATATCGACCGTGAAACAGCTGTCTGCGTCTGCCCTGTTGCACATTTGGCGATCTGTCCATGTAGTATATATATATAAGCTTCGTATGGGTGGCAAAGGTCACGAACACGCAATGAATTACCAGGCCAAAGTCGGCCAAGTCATAGTAGCTGCGAGGAGTTGTACGAGTACAACTCGACTTTTCCGACGAGCTTTCTATCTTCATATATATACATATTTATGAGAAGATAAGGCGATCACAGGAACCATGGATTTATTTGCCTGACGTTTCGAAAGCAGACAAGCTTCCATCATCGGAGGTGGTTTGCTTACTGCACGTCACAGTATTCATGGGTTTTACTTCGTGCTGGCGTGTCATTGACTTCCAGCGCGCTGCACCACACGGTATGGCGATGGTTGTCATGGCGGCATCGGTTCCTCCTCACCTTTTGTCGGGTGTGGGGAGGGGAGCGGCGCCGGGGTGACCGCGGCCATTGCTCTTGTTTGCATTGTTCGTTGTCCGCCCTCGACGCATCTCGCCTTCCTGCCCCGTTCGCACCTGCCCGTAACCGCGTGGACGGTGGTTGTCATGCCACTGTTGACGTCGGGCTGGGGGGTCCTGTCACTGTCGTGGGACCTCGTCTCGCTGTCCCATTCCCACCTGCCCGTAACCGTGTTGACGGTGGTTGTCACGCCACTGTTGACGTCGGGCTGCGGGGTCCTGTCACTGTCGGGCGTTCTCATCGAGTGCTTGCGTCTGTTTGCGTTCGGACCCGGAAGGCTATCTCCTGGGTTTGCGTTCGCCGCCGGTTGTCCCCCGGTTTCGTCCGTTCCCGGTGCCTGTCTATGCCCGTCCACGTTCCCGCTTGGTCCGGGTTTGATTACTGCCGTCTCTGGCCTGACGACTCGTCGGTAGCCCTGCCGATTGAACTTCACCCGTAGGGCTTGGTAGGCAGCCGGCAGAGTTACGCATCGGTTGATTGAGTTAGTTGTGGTGTGCCAGGCTTCGAGCGTCTCCCTGACCGTTTGATCGCTCCCTTAGCCCAAGACTTCGGCGTCTTGGAAGGCGAAGGCGTGGCCAAAAGCTGCGCAATGTTCTGCCACTAACGAGAGCTGATCCATTCTTCGTACCGCTCTTGCGTGCTCGTCCATGCGGGTCTGCAATCTCTTCCCGGTTTCTCCAACGTAGTTTGCCTCGCAGGAACTACACGGGATCCGGTAGACGACGTTGGCAGTTTCGCCTCGTCGCAGAGGCGTTTTTGGTCTCATGATCGAACGTCTAATTGTCGCTTCAGGTTTGTGGGCGATGCCGATACCCAATGGTTGCAAGATACGAGCAACTGCCTCGGAAACGTTCGCAATATATGGCAGCGCTCGTCAGACTTTCGGCTGATTTGCCGTTGACTTTACGGTTGGTCTGGACAGTCTGCTGCGTTCCATAAAGCTGCGGGGGTAACCGTTGGAGGTGAACATCCGCCGTAGATAGTGGAGTTCGGCTACCTTGTCGGTCGGTTCGCTGCAGTGAGTGTCAACTCTCCTGTAGAGAGATCGAACACAGTTTCGTTTGTGACACAGCGGGTGATTGCTGTGGTAGGACAGGATTTGGCGAGTGTTAGTGGCCTTCCTGTAGACCGTGGTCTTCAGGCTCCCGTTGACCTTGCGATGGGCCAGAACGTCTAGAAACGCGATCTCATTGTTCTCTGTCTCCATGGTGAATTGAATATCGGGAAGAACAGAGTTCAGTAGCGCGTGGAAATTCGAGACCATTTCCCGTTTGAGAACGACGAAAGTGTCGTCCACATACCGCGCCCAAAATTTTGGCTTATATGTTGCGAACAACAACGTCTCCAACTTTTGAAGAACAACTTCAGCGATGAAACCGGATAGTGGTGAGCCCATCGGCGTACCTTTGATTTGTTCGTACACAGAATGGTATTACCGACAAAGACAAGGGAGACTGGAATGACCATTTCTGGCTTATTAGCCGTCGTCAGCCAGCCATACCCAAGCCCGAAGTGTGGAACACCCGAGCCTCGAACTAGCGACTTGTTGGTTTAGAAGTCCACGTCTCTACCCACCGGGCCACGAGCCCGTTGCCTTGTCGGTTTTCGATCGGGAATATACAATGGTGGGGGGCGCTCACCGATCGTTCATACGGAACTCACTCGTTCCGTTGTGCCTTAAGGGCTCTCACTCGAGCCCAACCATCTTGGGCATGGCTGGCTGATGACGGCTAATAAGCCAGAAATGGCCATTCCAGTCTCCCTTGTCTTTGTCGGTAGTATCATTCTGCCTATATATCATGCGCCGCTGCGCGGCTGCTGGTTGGGCTCGAGAGAGAGCCCTTAATGCACAACGGAACGAGTGAGTTCCGTATGAACGATCGGTGAGCGCCCCCTACCACTGTATATTCCCGATCGAAAACCGACAAGGCAACGGGCTCGTGGCCCGGTGAGTAGAGGCGTTGACTTCTAAACCAACAGGTCGCGAGTTCGAGGCTCGGGTGTTCCACACTTCGGGCTTGGGTATGGTTGGCTGACGACGGCTAATAAGCCAGAAATGGCCATTCCAGTCTCCCTTGTCTTTGTCGGTAATGTTATTCTGCCTATATATATATATATCAGCAAGGAGGGACGACAGAGAATGCGGTGTGCGCCCATTCCTGATTGATATATATATATATATACGTCTCTTTTTTGTAAAATGGGTTTCGTGTTAAATAAAAGGTGCGAAATTTACGAACTGAAGCATTATCGCGCGTTTTAGGTGTTATGTCATTCTGTGGACGATTTGTGTGAGAAATGAAGTTATTCCAGGATTGTTCACTAACCTCAAACAATTGGCTGTGCATGTCGCATGTGTGTGCAAGGGAGTTTTTCGCACCAAAAATACTTGGGGTAGATGATCTTCACAAGATAACCAAAGCAGCGCCTAGTGTTGGTTTCAGTTTTCGCAATGCGAACTACGCTGAATACTGACGGCTGCGGATAATAGAAGGGCTCGTCACGAGCTACGTCGTAACAGGCCCTGAAAACAGCCTCGACTATTGGATCACCGACATCCTCGGTGAATCAGATGGTCATACTTCCATTTAGGTATAATAAGGGATTGCTCTAACTGATCGACAACGATCGACTGCCACGGGACACGGTATTTTCCTCCATACCACGTAGAAAGCACCGGTTCACGTCCCATAGGCGGACAAAAGAATGATAAACACGAAGGGTGTCGATAGTTTGGGCTCTATAGGAACTGCTATCGTCCGTACGAATATAGGTAGTTATGCAACTGTGTCACGGAGTTTTGTCGTCTGAAAACAACGGCCAATCATGGAACGTTTGACTACCAGTGTATCTGGCAGCAGTGAAGTAGATCAGCGTGTTTTTGGATCTTCTTTCAAAAATAGATTTCCCGTCAATCCAGTTGGCTTCAGCTGACGTCCACCTCCTAAAATGCTCACTCGCAAAATCGATAATTGGGAAAGTTTTTTCTACTCGGAAGAAGGTGTGCCGCTCAGAATAATGCGAAAAGGCTTGTCTTCTACGTACGCAGGAAGTCCTAGAAGAGACCGTTGAAAAGATCAGTATCTTACGTAATGTATTTTAGTTGAAATTACCGTCCCTGTCGCTTTATTGTGGCACCGTCATACACGCACAGAAAGTTAGCTTCTCATACTTCTACGAAACCTGCCTCTTTTTGTATCAATTACATATTGCCTGTCTTCATGTGTGCGTGTGTGCGTTCATCAGATCAAAGGCCGCTATCCCGTCTTCTTCTGCCTCCCGTACAAGGCGTACGCCATCCTGCCAGTTGGGCAGCCCCACCTAATGCCCAATTGGCCAGCCGTCAGGCCGCGTGCCGTCTGGCAGGCCATGGAGAAGATGCGTCCCTACCATACACTCCTTCTCACCACCCAGAGGGAGGAACTCTTGTCCTCATTTCTACCGCCCGACGCGAACCGCTCTCTCGCGAGGTTAGATATGCCAGTTTCTTGTGCTTATGCAACTTTGATGGCCTTTCTAGGATTGCCATAGCACATGAGCATTCACGTACAGGAAGATATTACAGCCGTAAGCAAGTTTGTGTTACTTTCAGCCACCCCGAAATGGTTGCACAACCTCCAACCCTATTCTACCCTCAGAGACGTGCCAATTTATTAGATGAAAATCATGTTTCAGCTTCGGAAATACCGATTCACTGGTAGTGGGACGCTCATCGATCGTGTTTACGGAACTCGCTCGTCCCGTTGTGCCTTAGGGCTCTCTCTCGACGTTGGGTATGACTGGCCGACGATGGCTAATAAGCCAGAAATGGCCATCCCAGTCTCCCTTGCCTTTGTCGGTAATGTCATTCCGCGTATATCATGCGGCACTGTGCGGCTCGAGAGTGCATTCTAAGGCACAACGGGGTGAGTGAATTCCATAACACGATCGGTGAGCGCTCCTCTCCCATTGTATATTCTCGATCGCAACCGACAGGACAACAAGCCCGTGGCTCAGTGGTTAGAGGCGTTGGACTTCTAACCAACAGGTCGCGGGATCGAGCCCCAGGTTTCCACACTTCGGAGATGGGTATGATTGGCTGACGACAGATATTAAGCCAGAAATGGCCATTCCAGTCTCCCTTGTCTTTGTCGGTAAGGTTACTCTGCCTATACCAATTCACGTTTGAGTATACATGAATAACAGGAGCGCAGCCCAGATCTTTTTTTGATGGTATCCACCCGTTAACGCACAAAAGAAGCTGTCGGGGTCTGTGTGTGTGCGAGCATACCCACGCTCCCAGGCGGCGAAGATGAGGAAGGCCCACCACCAGTGCGACCACTCCAGAAGAAACTCTATCTGGGACACTCCACGACCAGTTGTCTGCAACCCTACTGGAACTTAGAATATGGTAGTCTCTAATACAACTCTGTATTACGTTGCATCAGAGATTCCTCCGAGGGCAAAAAGCAAGCATCGGCGGCCTCAAGATTGGTGCCACACATCGACATATGCTGGCGATGCACAGCTGATTCATGCGCCCAAAGGTTCAGCTAGACTCAACCTGGCAGTTTGATGTTGTTTGTCGTATTCTGTGCGCTGCCCACCGCTGTAATCACAGAAGACAAGTTGAACAAAGCCTCGAGGCTACATTGCTCATGAAGAGACGATCTTAGTTGTCGACTATTTGCAGACCGGAATGAAATCATAATTTTAATTTTGCGATTCAATAATTTAACTAGGAAGAGCTTATCGCCATTGGGGGCCGCAGTCCTGAATCAATTAGGAGACTCCTCCAGCTCCCTCCCTCCCTCGGCAGCCAGACCCTACGCCACCAGCCTAAATTAATAAAACCGACCACGGGATTGGAAACTATCACTGACGCGGACGCAGCCTGTCGTAGGAACGCGAGGCTGCCACCAAAATAATCCAACATTTCCTAAACGATTAAATTTTTTCTGAACACTTCAAGCCGAGCTAAGATCGCATCCGCTTACCAGTTTTCTTCGCTTGTTTAGTTATGTCTCTCACGTCCGGTCGACCTGTAACAGCTATTGATCTTACTGCAGCTTCATCAAAGAGCTGTCACCAACGGTCGGGCTAAATGATCTCTCCGTCGGGATGCACTCACAAGGTCACTGTCTGCGCCTGGCCCTCTGGTTGGTGTACAATGGTCACGCGATAATAGCCTACCCTGTTGCTGGAAATAACTCCTACACCCTTGCACCCCTCTCCCATCTCTGGTTACAGCCCCAGCTTCTGCTGGAATTCGCGGAACGTTTCCCGCACTTGAATCTAGCACAGGTAAGGCTCCCCTGTGGCGAAATACAATTGTTTATTCTAACATTTGTATCTACTTGTTCATAAATAAGTAGGCGAGAATAAACAGAATAGTTCCTAACCGTAGTGATGTCCGCTGCTGTGAGCAGGAAATTACTCCTCATCATGCTATTGACCCTGGGGAAGTCCAGCTGGAATGCAGGGCAAAAGGTTCCACTATCGTTCAAAAATCTGGTTAAGAAGCATCTCATCGGATTGTGACTGTGTGGAGGGCTTGATGGAGGAGTTGTTTTCACAATTCACGGATTCGAACGGGAGTCTCCATGAACCCTTCCAACACAGAAGTTTAGTTCTAGGGCTGTGCCGGGCGACGAAAAATGAATCCACCTTGGCTATTGTACAACATTGGCCATGTTGTAGTGCTGTTATGACTGTTTATCTGATTATGTGCCTGATTTCTCTCATCAGTGCTCACCCACGCTTGAAGGTATTATTTTTGCGTGGTCCGTAACATCCTACTCTTCAGAGCCAAATGGCGGCCTATTTCACAACTAATCTTTGCTGAATGCACGTTCACCATTCACCACCTGTACACACACTAAATATTCCGCAATTAGGCCAGCAGTCGGACCCCATCTTCACAGGGTTCCTGCTGTCCCTGATTGTAATTCTGTGGATGTGACCGTCTTTGTGTCCGGAAACTGGGCCGATGGTCAAGGCCTCTTGCAATTTTAATTGGAATAAAAATACATCTTTTGTGATGGCAAGAGAAACAGTCACGCGGACCTTAAATCTCTCGGCGCGTACATCATGTACCTTGGTAAACATCTGAAACCGGAGGGTTTATTCACACCGCGTCGTAAACTACTCAGAGCTGTGTCGCCCTTGGCGGCGACGTGGTCAAGGTCGTCTGCCTAACGGGACGCTTAAGGCTTGCTAACCAGGCTTGGTGATTCTTCCACTGGCCTGTCAAACCCTGTTTGTGAATCTCAATGGGCGTGGAGTGAATGTAAACGGAACCTGAGAAGATGATGATGAGATCGCCGGAAAAAAAGGTGTTTATTGTCCTAACGTTTCGGATTCTCACTCGGATCCATCTTCAGAGACAGTTGAAGACAAAGACGACGTATGTACTGTGACAACCATTACCGTCTGTGTATATCGGGTGATTATCCCACTTCGAGACTGAGCGCAGTCAGCACCAATAGCAGAAACGATTACAGAAAAGTACTTGGAAAAATAACAGACATGCCGTGGCAGTGGACGGAGATGTCCACCATGAGGTTCAGGATCTACAAGAATGCTCATTCTATCCCGAAGCCGGCAACAAAGCCCAAATACCGCCAAGGCACCACTCAACTGACTTTTGCGCCGGTTGGAGAGCTACACTGTAAACCTTTAGATTCAAGTTTTATAAGGTCGGTGCCTTCGAAACGTATAGGGGCGAAAGATGATGATGCCGTGTTCAGGCTCACTTATAAACCACCTGTCTACAGACAGTCTGGCACGACAAACCTTCGACCAACTGCGACTAAGTAGCTCATTGTCCGACTGCACAGCAGTGCTAACATTGGCTTCTCCTCGGCGTAACCAGAGAGTCAGAAAGCCAAGTGGCTTTAGTGAGCCTTGGGGGTGCACAAGACAAGCAGCCCAGAGGAGTTGGATGTTTCTAAGTTAGCGTCAACACGAAGAGCTCAGGACAGGGCATAAACATGTACAGACCCCGGACAAGTGCGCCAAAAGAGATACTAGTGCGAAATCTCTCATAAAAAGACAAAAGCAAACGTGCAACGGTGAAATGTACTGTCAGTTAAAAGGCAGAGCAAGGTGTGGCCTATTCAGAAGAGGCTGGGAATCGGAATTGGGTCCGATATGGCGGAAGCAATAATGCTATGTGAGTGCTTACTTCAAAGACCTGCAGACGTTCAATGTCCTCTATAAGGAAAACCGATAAAATGGGAAGGCCAAAAAATACACGCCTGGAGATTTCCGCCGAAGTCTCCACCGACAAAGCCACACGACAAAAACCACCAGCCTCACCTCTACTCCTCGTATCCAATGACATACACTGCACCCGGAAAACTGTTTAATCTATCTTAGCACCACAAGACTACGTCAAAGTCTTAGAGAATGTTCGATATTTGTCAAAGACGGAAGATCTGAACGTGCACCATAAATTGACTTTCTTTCCGTGCTGGAGAGAGGATTCGTCTCAGTCGCCTCTGCTGCTGTCTGGAGGAGAGCGCTCTACGTACCGAGCCGATTTTCGGTCAAAGCTTAGCGGGGAAGACCGGCTGCCGCAAAGTAGGGAGGCGGCCTCCACACAGTTACTTCTCCAAGTCTCATTGCTCAAACCAGTTGTCTCTATAATGGGTGTAATAAGTCTCTAGGTAAGTTGGAAGTAAACTTCAGGGGACAGCGACGGTGGTTGCCGCCCTGAGTGTCCGTGTCTTAGTTATTCGCTCCGACGCAGCTGGTCTCTAGGTTATTTTTCAGTTTGGTCTATGTGCTTCCTGATCAAGTCTTCAAAAAACGGGCAGCTACAGCATTCATATTTATGCCACCCTTCAAACCAGTATAATAAACGCCTTTGGGGTCGCTTATTTTCTATTTCTAGGTCCTCTCCTCATTTGCTGACTTTCAAACATTAAAATCACACCTCTTCCCGGATACGGACTCCGATCAGCGTTCCTCAGACACTCGCAGCTATTTCTGGGAGAACATTGATATCGCTGAAAGCGTGGAACTCATCAGCTGGCTCCTGCGTCGACGCCTTATCATCCAGCTGCACACCTACGTTATACCCGTCCTTTCTGTTGGCACCACCAATACCACTCCAGACGCAGGTCGTGAGACGGTTGCACATATCGAACCGGAGGTTCATGATGAGGACCTCAAGACCGGCGAGGTAGCCGGCTACGCGGAAGACAACGGCGGTGGGCATGCGGAGAGAGCTACGGGGGTGGCGACCGAGGAGAGTCATGTCCGAGAAGAGACTTGCCACCAGCAACAGTGCTCCAACGACATGACGGCACACTTCTTCGTCGAGACTCATCCCGACCTCACCGAGTCCCTACTGGAAGAGGCCCTGCCGAACCCCGCTGATAGACATGCGGTCATGACGCATTACCGCAACAGTGTCCGCGACCCAGCCCTACTCTGTCTGTTCCTACGCATTCTGCCCCAACTACCGGCCCACTTAGAAGATCTCATTTTTGTGGAGAGTGTGGATCGAGAAACTCTCGTCCTCTGCATTGAAAACTTCTCTCCGTTCCTCACCACCACCCGTCTCCCCGATCCTGTCACCGCCTGCTTTGCTGGCATTGAGTGGCCATCGTGATAGTTGGTTGATTCCTAGTGTTAGGTCCAACGCAGACCTTTTGTCCTGTTGATTTCGGCGCATGATGTGCCGAACTGGCTACGTGGCCGGTTATCGCGCATTTCCAGAATGTGGAACAATGCTGCGGCTATGAGCTACAGCTCATAACATGTTTAAGGCAATCGCGAAATGTGCTTTCAAATAAACAGATTTTTTTGAATTGAGTTTACCATAGTAATAAATGTAAAATATATTTCAGGATAATTTATACCGTGAGACCACGACTTTGCATTACCGTTTTATCCAATATCCTAGCGATCATGCGATTTGGGGAATAATCCCGCACTTGTATATGAATCGCATGCGGGTGGGTTCACAGAACCGTATTAGTAACCAGGCCGAAATAGGCACAACAGTTTTGCTCTGGACGACCGCACGGCGACAAATGATAAAGAGTTGATTATAGTTACCAGCAAAACACTTGAAACGTTGTTTTTGCCTTTTCAGCCAGTGATGACCCCAACCGCGGGTTCAGGTTAATAATGTCTATCGGACCAGAGGTCGCCATCCCTGTTTCTCCAGTTTTCATCCAAAAAAATTCAGCAGTGGCCCACAGTAACCATGCAATGTCGGTGAAACGGGCAAAAGATGACATGAGCACCAATTTACAATCAACCGCAAGGACAAGGTGTCGTTAATGTATGTCCACATACAACAGCTGAACCACAGTTTCATCCTTGAGAATGCAAGTGTGATAGGCCGAGCCAATAATAAAGTGGCCAGACTGGTGCTAGAGAGTTGGTCCTCGACTGAAACTATTAACCGAGCTATAGAACTGCATCCGAGCTACCAGGCGCTACGTACAAGGATCAGTTCGAGCAGGGCCAATAAAACAGTGAAGCACGTGGAACCGGGAGCTGACACTCACGGAAAAGAGGGGAGGGGACGGCCGGAGGTCACGAGACCAACATTGAACACAGTCTCGCCGACGCGCACGCCAGACTGAAAGCAACTCGTCCAAATAGCAACAACTTATCAGTCGGTTGTCTAACGTGGGGAAGACCGACAGACACGCCGACTAGCTACAAATACACAAACCCATAATGGGACAAAAGTCGCGAAAGACCGCCAGCGGCCATCCCCAGAGGGGTCAGAGGTAGTCGGCAGCAAACAAGCAGATTAAAGTTCATGCGTCGAGCACGGCCATAATACGGAGCGGGCAGCAAGAATGAGTAACTCAAGGTCAGCAGTAGCAACGGCCACGCGACTCTAATCTTGGGAACGAGGAAGTTTCGGAAATGTCAGTATGAAGACAATTTGGTCCAGAAAATCGTCATCTTCACGAGATGATGGAGGCGATAGGATATCTAAACCTCGGATCTTGACGCATTCATTTATACGCAGTGCGTTCATCGATTGGATTACTAGGCATGTTCGTCCTGTTGTGCCGACCGGCTGGAGACGGCTATTAAGTCAGAAATGGCCATCCTGGCCTCCGGTATCTTTATCGGGATATATATGTATACCCGGAGGTCGTTGAAAGAGGTGGGCGGGTGAATACAGCCCCGATTCAGGTTAGCTTTGCCTTTGCCAATAGAAGCGAAGAGCCGAGTCCCAGGAAGTAGTCTTGAAGAAGGAGACACGATCGCTGGGACGAGAGCTTTATTAGCCTTTCGTTTCGGATTCCTGCTCGAAACCATCATCAGAGACAATAACAGGTACGCAGATAGCTTCACCTTCACCCAGACACAACCCGAACCACCGTTTTGGACCAGAAAAACAAACGCACGCAGCGCAGATGATCCGCGGACAGGCTCTACCATATGGGTCATAAACACTTCATCGTGCCGAAGTTAACCGGCGTCTGGCATTTTCCGCCGCTGCAGGTCTAGTGTTAATTCACACGGAAAAAGGGCACACCGATCTCTCAACTCTCTGGAGCGAGCAAGAACGGATGGCACAGATCACAAATAGGCAGATATGCGAGACCCGTATAGTTATAAAAAAGGAACGAAGGCGACGTGCGGATCCAGAAAAGTAGTCCTGCATCGTTTTAAACTTCAGCCTGAGCTCATCGTCAGGTAGGAATGGAAGGTTGCAGCTCGGCTGTAATTCGATGGCACCTTGGGGAGTGACTTGTATTGAAGAAGAGGTTTGATTCCGCAGTCTCATTCGATTGATACCATATGGTTAGCTTACTAGAACAATATTAAACACTCGCTAGACTATGAAGGGAAATGGAGCGCAAGCAGACCTCGAAACACGCTTAGGGAAGCGAGTAAAGGTAGCGTGTACATACTCTCCCCCGACACAGCCACTTGCCGGATTAAGAGGATACGGGAGGGGGGGAGTGCAATCCCAACTGGAAGGCCACGGGACAAACCGTGTGGTAGTTCGCAGTGCATGGCCACTGCAGTGGAACCGACGGAGTTCCACATCATTCGAGCAATTCCATTAGCGAGTCTGCTTAACCACTCGCTGGATTAAAATAATAAAGACGGTGAAAAGAGGGCTTGAAGAACGCGCAGGGAAGCGCATGTGGACTGATAGCTGAATCAACCGAGGCTACAAGTACGTGATATTTGTAAAGTCGGCGTACTCGCATCTATTGAAATTTCCTAGAAAGCTTATCATATGGCATCACTCAGGTGGGGCTGCAGGATCAAACCTTGCCGCATTAACTTGCCCCAATGTCCTTTGTAAGCATGACGCAGACCAATATGACCGTTGACGGGCCCATCGTTCGTATGCCATGTCGGCAGGACATGGGAGCAAGTACCTCCGCCGTAATACAAGTGGCCTTGCGCTAAAGTTCGCGAAGGGAACTTATACCGGCTTGCATTCCGGTCCTTCGATTGGCCGCGGTTGAAAGACATTGTGCCCCGCGGAGGATTAGCCGGCAACCACTGGACTTATCTTACCACCTCACATCAGATTCGTGTCCTGCATCTCCGCTTGGGTTTGCCTGCGGGTTTAGAAAACAATCTCAAACCGACTTCGGAAAATGCGGAATCCAAGCGATGAAGCACGCAACAATTGTACCGAGTCGCCGTCCGCTTATCAGACATCGTAAGAAAAAAAAATTAGTTCTACGATGGGATGAGTTAGAACTCCAAATGAGCTGTATGCTCCTCCTTATGCCTGCCAATGACCTCAGGTGGTAGTTTGGGACGACAGAAAAATGCCCCATTTTGACCTAGAAATCGCCTTTGCCTTCGGGTCTCGCATGTTTGTCATCTTTTGAACTGCATGACAGTAAATGCCAGTGTGCCAGTCACTTGACATTCCTTCCATGTCGACAGGCTCCACTGAATACAAAACTCGGGCTCTTACACCATTGCCTGGAGTCGAAGAAACTGCCCAAACGCCACTACCCGCAGGCTTCCATATCAAAATTAGGCCGGGTAGACAAGTATCCTTACTGCCACCTACGTCCGCAGAAGCAATGGGAAGAACCAAGAACAGCAGGTCAGTTGTCCAGTGGCCTTTCGAGAGTGCCCCAAAAACAGGCCACACGGTAGATGCGCTGAACCAACACGGGACTATATAGGATCCTGGCAGGCGTTTACAGAATGCGCACCATAAAAAGTAGCCAAATTTCCCGAAAGTGGTGGCAGACCCAGTTTCCGGCATAGGTCGCGCACTTTGGAAACATGCCGTCCCCATTGTTGTTGTTGGTTAAAATCCTGGTCATTTGCTATGTAGACCAGGGGGGGGGGGTGCGGAGTAGAGTGCCGAAGTACGGGCTCGACTGTCCTCCGCTCCCAGTTGTATGTGTGATTGTGTAGAATGGCGGACGATGGGCTGAGAGTTAGGCTGCCACGGCTCCCTCTTCATGTGACCTTCGACACTTTCACGTGTGAGAATTGCGTGTGGGTTCTAGGAGTAGTGCCTCTCAGTCGATTGCTGACTGTTAATACAGCTTTTGAAGGGTGATGGTCCACACTAAATGCTGGACTTCGTGTCACCCTCCTGGACCTTGAGGAATGTAAGTGTCTGCAATGGTATGAGCAGACAACCATGACTCTCGCGGCCTGATGTGCACTGGCAGTCCTGTGTTCCCGGGCTCCCTGCCGGTATATGCGCTTACGCCCCCGCTAAATATACAGATCGTGTGCGTGATTGCCCGGTCACCCTCGACTCTCTGACCCGTCCTCGTGTTGTTGATCGAAATCCTGGTCAAATGCTCTTTGTGGACGAGGGGTTGTGGAGTTCAGCGCCTAGGTGCGGGTACGGCCGTGCCAGCCACCCGTGCCCTTTCCCGCCTCCGATCTTCCTGACTATGTCTTGACACCGGGTCCGAGTGGGGGAGAAGAGAATGCGGTAGATGCTTCGTAAGTCTATTCTCACTATAAAGTAATTCACGCGCAGGTAACTGTGCCAGCTCCACCTTGCTGTGGAGCACATGGTGGACATAGTCGATTGCGACGGGCAAACTGTCGTGTGTGCGTGTGTACGAGTGTTAAGGAGCCTCGCCCCTAGAACGGACCACGCGGAAGATACGCTTGACCAAAACGAGAGCCGCATTGGATTCTGACAGATGTTATCGGAAATGCACACCAATAACCTCCGGGCTGTGGTGGCAGGCCCACCTATCGGCTCACGTTGCGCATATTTGGATCCCTGCCGCTTTCCGTTTATGTTGTTGGTTGTAATCCTGGTTTAGTGTGTTGTGGACGAGGGGGTGCGGTGGCACGCCTAGGTGCAGATCCAGTCGCACAAGCCACCTGCTCCTTCTCCCGCCTTCGGGTTTTCTGACTCTCTCTTGACACCGTGTCCAAATGGGGGGGGGGTCCGGTAGATGCTGTGCAACTCTACTACCACCATAAACTAACTCATGCACAAGCCACCGTGCCTGTTCCCACCTCGCTGTTGAGTACACGATGGAAATCGTCGGGCACGACGGTCGGCCTTTGGCGAACGACTGACAAGCACAGGACACGTTGTCTGATAATTGGTGTTTTGCAGGGGTTAGAGCAGCCTAACAGGGAAACCGTCAAACCAAAGCCTACGCGTGCGAC